CATCACTTCCAGTCCTAAGGAAGTGCACAGGTGAGGCAACATACCGGTGAGCTGGATCTGAAGGATTGTTTTGGAGAGAGGTTGACAGCACCAGTACTGACAGGAGTAGCACTGCCCAGAGGAGGTGTGTTTCGCAAGGTCTCTTTGAGAAGACCCAGACCACCAGGAAGCCCAGACAGAGTAGGTAGCACAGGCACAGCACCTGGTAGCCCACCTGCAGACTTCTTCCTTTTAGAAGGGGGGATGAGGGAAGCAGGTAAACTAGTTGGGACAGGCTCCTTCTCCATGGCTCGATACACAAGATGCATGACCTGTAAAACCGCAAAATCAGATCATTTATTTATTTTGGCAAAAACAGCTTTTCTAAAAAACTTAGAATATGCTGAAAAAAAATGTTTGATGTTAAATATTTGCTCTCCAATATTTATCTAGTGTGCAAAAGCAATCTTACCACTGTGAATTCATCTTTATCCAAGTGCCCATCTTTGTCTATATCACCTAGGTCCCAAATCTACAAATCAGTTTGTCAAAATAAACAGGAGTTGGTTTCTCTGTAAACACTATAACATGAGGATAGACTGAGCAAGAGTGTTATTGTGTTCCATCACTCTAAGTGTAATATTACCTTTCCTAAAACATCCAGAGGTAGCTTGGAGTTTATCAAAACTGGCCTGACTTTATCACCAGAGAGGAGGCCATTTACAGGAGACAGACTCTCAAAAATGCCCTCAAACTTCCCTTTTTCTTCAGACTAGGAAAGAGAAAAAAAAAACACAAGTTTAGGTGACATTCTTGATTTTCTTACATCCCCAGAATGTTCCCAGCTCACCCTTATTGCCCACTGTGAGTCAGGTGCTGTTGTTGAAACACTTAATAATGGGCTGTTAGTGTCGTTCTGCAAAGAAAAAGGTAAGATACTAAAAAGCAGAGTAAACAAATGCAGTAACAACTGCACAAAGATGTGGAAGTTGCAATTTTTCCCTTACAGTATCATTTTCTGACACATTCAGTGACCATTAATTTCTCCACTAGTGTGTTCCCGTAACAATACTAAATATTGCTGTTGTCAGGAGAGTGATTATAAAACTTACAAACTTGGGTGCAGCTAAATTTTGGTTGAGGTTGTTCAGGCTGATATCATTTCCGCCTTGTGCTGAGGCCACCAGTCTCAAAGCTATGAAGAAACCCTACGAAAGAGGAAGACAGCGAGTGTTCATGCATACATCAGCATCATCAATCACAGCAACTTTACAGAGAAACCCAGTTTTACCTTCTTATCTAAATAGCCTTTTCTTTCCAAATCTGCCAAATCCCAAATCTAAGTAAACAAACAGAAATAAAAGCAGTTTAGACACTACTGCCCAAACATATTTTTTTGTGTAGATGTATGTGTTTGAGACTCACCTTCCCCAGTGTACTGTCTGACAGTCCTGATTTCTTAAGGAACTGAGCTGCATCTCCAGCAGATATTTTGCCTGTGTTTCCTGGATCCAGCTACAAACAATCAGAAGCAAAACACTAAGTGGACACATCCGAAATAACAGTAATAATTAGTTGATTTTATGTGACACATAGACACCAGATGAGCTAGTTTGGAAGAAATCCCGAGGTTACCTGTCTGTAGTAGTTTTCGTAGACTGGACTTCCACTTGACAACTGGAGAAGACGGGAAAAAAAAAATATAACACCGGGCTAAGCTCCAAATGTGGTTGTTGGCTAATGCATACCCGAAATAAAGTTGTTAGAAAGGTTACAACCATTTCATTCTGTCCTTAAGAAGTCACTAGCGTTAACAGTAGATAAACACAGGCTTGATTGCTAACATTAGCAAACCGGTCTTGTGTCGAAAAGTGTTCTCCCGTTAAAATTGTTTTTCTAGTAGCGCTCACTAGGTGGTTATGGTTTGGATAAAGTTGGGATTCAGGTTATGGGAACCAAATATCGACGGGGGAACAGATCTAGACACAACACCTGTTTGTAACATCCTCACTGCTAACACCTCTTTGCTCCCTGTTCGATTAAAACATACAGTAACTTTTTAACGTACAGTAACTTTTAGTTTCCCTAGCTATCCTTACTTGACGTTAACCTAGCTAACCATGTTAACTTGACAACGAAAGGTTGTTAGTAGGGTTACGCTAGACAGTATTCACCACTGCTTCCGTGGCAAATTCATACCACGACTGTCACTTGATGATGGTTAATTGAAAGTGTGAGACTTTTCTTGAGCTATTTAAAATTGTTACCTGACTGAGAGTCATGAGTGCCGCCATATTTCCTGGTGTCTCGGGAGTGCGCGTACGCCCCTTAACCGCGCGGGCACGACCAGCGACAGATCAGATTACCATCTGTGGTTCCGGTGGGATTACACTAGGAAAGAGCACAATGGTGGTTGGTTGGTTGGTTGGTCGGTCGCAAACGAGTCGCCGGCTCTGTTACGCGAACGATGAGAGCCGTTTTTAAATACACCACAGAACGACAGGTGATCTTTATTCCACACTGGTCGGCCACAGGGTTCCTATGCACTGACTAACTGTTGTCTTGCGTATGTCTGTGACCAATCAGGTGTGATAACAGACAAGGATCATACCATCAGGTTAAAAGGGGAAGCGTTGGAGCCAGATCAGAACAGACCAAAGGTGCATGCGAATATGGAGCCAGATCAACGACTTCTAGTCTTAGGCACTGAAGCATAAAGTTTGGCATTGAAAACAAAACCGTAACTGAAACAGCAAACATTGCCACTGAAGCATCTGTATTGGAAAAAAAACACATTGGTAGCTCTACTTTACTGGGGGTATGTTTCCCTTGCGAAATTGAAATTACTATTTCAAATATATCACTTGGGCACCTTCACCATTATCTAGGTGCCTTTGCTCAGTGGAACAAATATATATTTAAAAAAATTTAATATGGCAGGTTCATATTTTTGCTTTTCACTCTTGCAAAACAATTAAAAAAATGTGGATGTGAAGTCAGTTTACATTCAAACTACATTCTCCCAAAATGTGGATATACAGTACAAAACGTGACCAGGCAATGAGGTTATAACCTTTTAATAAAAATTTTGGTATTAACATTCTGTCCAATAGAAATAAGCGTGTAACCCTTAGTGATGTCAGGGGTCACACCAGGGGCTGTTTCTCCAGACTTTCAGGATATAATGCAGGTCCCATCACATTTCCTTGAAGACATGTCGAATTCATGCCATTTCAATGCAGTAAAATGACAACATTGTGCATTTGGATGAAAATGAATTGTCTAAACATTTCATTCAATTATCCCCTAAAGAATGTGAAAACGTAAATAAAAAGTCAGTGCCAAAGACAACCAAAATAAATTGCATAATATGGCTGTTTATGCATTATTTGTTGTTATATGCATTTCACTTTTAACCTGGCTGAATGATTTTTTTTTTCCTTCATAGATGATCAAGTAAAAATAATGGATTATCCATATTCTCTGCAGATTTCAATTTGTAATATTTATATTTTTAACATCTTTTTAACTGTCAAAGTAGAAGCAACTGGAAATCTGTGCATAATGTAGATGTGTTGATTAAGAAAATGGTGGATTTCAATGTTTCCTTTTTCCTGTTATTACAAAATGATGAATGTACCTTCTCAAAATCAACCTAGCATCAGGGGGCAAAAGGATAATATCAAAATGACAGAAAGATGTAACTAAGACCATTAACACCCACCAGCCCCACCTCACTACATGCCCCCCACCCCACCCCAGGTTGTGTCCAGATCTCAGGGAAAGGATGCACAGCAGCCAAAATACCCCCTGGGAAATAAAGGACAGAGTTTCTATGTGAGGGACAGAAGAAATCTCTGGCCACATCTCCTCAAAGCTCATCTTTAGGCTTTGCTTCCTCATCACCCATTTCCGAAAGTGCTTCCTCTACGTCTTCCTTTGGCTCTTCCTCTTCTTCTTCTTCTTCCTCTTCCTCCTCCTCCTTCGCATCCTCATCCTCATCAGCTTCTGTGTCTTGTTCTTTGTTCTTCTCCTCCTCCTCTTTTCGTTTCAAGTCATCTTGCTCCTGTTTCATTTTCCTCTCTGGTTCCTGTGGGCAAAATTTAGATAATCACAAACCTGTCTACTAATTTATTCTGTATCCAACAGGCAATGGGTTTGTTGTGCAAGTATACAATATTGAGATTATATCAATCCTAGTACAGCACACCTTTGTCACACCCCATGTATTCTTTGCGATATCTTCTGCTTCCTTCACATCATCTGAGATGAGGAAGTTGTCAAAGATGGTACCAGATTTCACCTGAGATGAACAGCAACAATGTTACATTGTAATTTTTCACTAAAGAAATAGCATTACTAATCACTGATGATCTTGTTCTCCCTCACCTGCCAAAGATCAAGGCCTAAAACACCAATGTTGTCAAACTTGTAGATGCTTGAATCAGCACTGTATTCTGGATTGTCAATCTCAGGATGCACCCAAGGTCCTTTGTAGTTGGGGTTGTCAATCTGTTTGGGTTTCCATTCTCCCTGTAATAAAAAAAAAAAGCTATTCATCAGGCTGCAAATGCATTAGAAGAATGAACGTGAAGCATTTGTCAGGCAGAAGAGAACACACACACTGCATAAGCTGTAGCCATGACTGTGTTACTTCAGTCTACCTTGTACTCTGGGTTGGGGATCATGGGTGGCTCCCACTCTCCATCCATATCCTCATCCCAGTCATCAGGCTTTTTAGCATCAGGGTCTGGAATGTTTTCAGGTTTGTCCCAGTCCTAAGAACGAACAAATAATCCCAAAATGGTGAGTAAGTAAGTATATTGTATATGTAGACCTGGTTCTTTTCAAACCCAAGACTGCTGTGGAAATGTGCATGAGAAATTAATGAAAAGCACTCTTCCTCCTATCAGCTTCTCATTAGAACCTAACAGCATTGTCAGTCAATGCAAAGATGATCAAAATGAAGTTTTATTCTGGATGAGGATGACTAATTGTAGTAATCAGAGTAGTAAGCTTACTTACCCCAGGCTTGGTGTCATCAGCATCATCAATCTTGGCACGGTCATCCCAGTCCTCTGGCTTCTTGGCTTCAGGGTCCTTAATTTTCTTCGGAGGCAGGAAGTCCCAGTCATCCTCTAGACTACCAGATTCTACCTTCTCATTGTCAATCTTCACCTCATAGGTCTGATCTGGATTCAGGATCAGTGTGTACAGGTGGGTGAGCTCATCATCCTGGAAGAAATTGTCCAGATTAAGTCAGATGATGCAGAAGCAGCATATCATTGTATCTTAAAATAAAACAAAACATAAAAAAAAAAAAAATCCATGAATACCTTGCACTTAATCTCTTTCTTGATAAGGTGATTCTTGCCCTTGTAGTTGAAGATGACATGAACTTTTTTGGTGCTGTAGCCACAGATGTCTGGGCCTAGGTGGGGGAAAAAACTGGAATTATTAGATGTTCCAAATTCTGTCATTGTAACCATCAGTTAATGTAATATACTATCATGAATTATCACTTACCAAACATTATGTAGTATGAGGAGTCCCCATGCATCTCAGTCTGCTCCAAGTCAGCAGGGAACACCTTTACATAGCCACCACCACAGTCAATCTTTTGCTCATGCTTGACTGTAAACTGGATGACTAAAGGTTTACCCTCATTGCTGAAAGGCTCAAAACGGGCAGAGACAGCATAGAAACGAGCATCCTGACTAGTCTGCAGACCTGAAAATGAAAGTGCAAAACAAATCCTTAGCAAGACAAATGCAAAATAGGTTCTCTTTGGGAACTGTAAAACAAAATGCAGACAGATGTAAGTAAAGTGAAAACTGAACACAAGCATTGTTTAAAACTTTTTAACACAAATGATCTGTTCAAAAGCTGTTACAATGCTCAGATTGAACGGTGAGTGTTGTTTACCATTTTCAAATATTGAAGCTGGAGAATCAGGTTGCAACTAATGGCTTTTAATTTATTACATTTATGTTCTCAATTAACATACAAGCTCAATAGTTATATCTGAAACATTTAGACTGAATATAGCATGATCAATTTAATGAAATACGCGTGATTCTTGTTACCTTGGTCTTTCTCTGGATCTCCATAGAAGTTGCCAGCAGTTAGTTTCCACTCTCCATAGTCGGACTTATGTTTGGAGTTTATCCAACGACTTCTCCATTCATCTGTAGAGAGCACAACCATTAAGTTAGCTAAGAATTAACCCTTGGGGCACGTCACGTCAAATCACTTTAAGAAAGTTATATTACCAAATTTCTATTCACTGGTGTTACTATAACTCTCAAAACGGTAAATTTCTTTTGATTAGTAAGCAACTAAGGTCACAACTACTAACCTGAGTGGCTATTAGCTACGTTTGCTAGCTTTGGGGCCTTGCTAAAGCCAGTCAGCTAACAACCTAGCTGAATAAAGGAAAATTAGCGAGAGTGAGATATTTTTCACTAAAACAGTGACTGAAAGCAATTATTTTGAAAACCTCACGATGATAACTGTGACAAAGAGAAGATCAGCGATCAAGCTAATAGCATTAACCTCATGCACGGCTAAAGCTAGCTAGTATTATAAATGTCCATGTCCAACTTACCACCATCCAGAAACTCTTCCCGAAAGTAAACATTCGCACGTACACAGTGTACTGCTAATACCACTGCAACTAAACCCAAAACTTTCATTTTGTTTACTGTCTCAGCAGCAATTCCCTATGCTGACACCGTGCTTGCTGACTTGTGAATACCTTATGGAGACAAGAAGGAAATATTTTAGAGTCGCTTCTGCGAACAGATGTCTGCCTGCCATTGGCCAACAAGATGGTGTATCTGGACCAATCACAGTAGACCACGAAACATATGTTTCTTCTAGTGCCTGATCCAGGATCGGTGGTTATTTTAAATGTTTTATTTGTGTCATTATATGAGCAGTCCAGTAGAGGGTGCCAAATATAAAAAATAGAAATATATTGCAGCCTAATGGGAGTTTTCCTCCCCGCTGTCGCCAAGTGCTTGCTCAAGGGGTGCTGGGTTTTCCTTATACTGTATTATAGTATATGGTCTAGAGCTTATTATGTCAAGTACCATACGACGATTGTTGTTGTGAACTGGTGCTATACAACTGAATTGAGATAAAGTATCTCTGCAAACAACACTAGGTTTGGCTAAAAGTGAAACCATCTTGACTGCCATTATTAACTCCCTACTGCTCAGGGGCACATCAGGGGAAATCAACACAAGCCTTTTGGCTGCTTCACTGGACGTGGCACTGCTATAATCCCAAGGCTCAAACTAACAAGCCACACTGCTGTAGACTGCTGCTCCCAAAGAAGCTCTACATCCCTTTTATACTCCTGTGGGCCACATGCTGCAAGAGAATTCAAGCTTTTAACCACAAGAGGTCAGTGAAATGATGCTTTTCAGTTTGGTGATATGCTACTCCTTTCACTCTACTCTTCTGAAATAAGGTTGAGCATATATTATGCAAACACTATGCATGTCTTGGCAGTTCTGGTGTTATTAGTACCAGAAATACAGCCTTGAACTTGGACAGCTAATGAGCGACTAGCTATGTTAAAACTCCAACAGGATTTCTAGTTTCCAAGCAGTATATACATCAAAAAAAGAAACTATTAATAGCATCTGAATTCTTAAATATGTGATATTTGACTTTCATTGGCTTTTAATTCACTGGTTTGTCTCTGCAGGCTGTAGTACTGCCTTGAAGATGAACTGTTGGACAGGAAGAAGAAATCTTGGCACATCTTACCTCAAGCAAAGGTCTCATCATTTCCCTTTACACAGTGTTCCAGCTGGTCAGAGCTACAGGCACTGTGGCACCAGGGATGGGTTCATATTTCATTGCAAGACTGCTGGTGAATTATTCCTTTGTTCACCCCCTGAGACCAGGGAAGCTGGTGTGTTGGAGTGAAAAAGGGAGTGAGCTGGAGGAGATAGGGAGCTGCTCCAGCCATTGAGGCTCAGTGGGAGCTGAGGTGTAGAGAGAGTCCACACCAGATGCTCCAGAACCACAGCAACAACATATGGACATGCAAACACATGCATAAAGCTGTATAGTAATATATATGAACTTTAATCAGCAACAGAGATTTGTACCACTCATCAAAATGAATGGAAAGACAAAAAAAACTGCACATTTATTTAACTGGGCTTGAGGGATAAACACAGAAATGTAAATCAAATGAATTTTCCCAGTGACATTTTCAATGATGATATGCATGGATGGATGACTGAACTGGCGTACTAGATGCATTTTATGTAGTGTGCTGTAATATTTAAAGTAAGATCTTTGCAGAGCAGTGTCAATGAGACTAAACGACTACAAAAAGTCTCAAAATAACCAAAATATACATGACTACAAAGGAACTCTAATGGACCACTAAGAGATTAAAATTGACTACAAAGAGATTCAAAATGCCTGCAGACCAAAAAACAAAGACTCAAAAAGAGATGTAGAATGACCTCAGAGAGACTCAGGAAGAACACAGAGACACAAAGCGCAGCAAAAAAAATGACTGCAAAGAGACTCTAAATAACTCAAAAGAGGTGCAAAAGTCCACAAAGAGATGCAATAGGGCTACAAATGAACTTACATTAACCACAAAGAGACACAAAATAACCACAAAGACACATGAAATGGAAGACAAAAATACTACAGAGATGCAAACCCTCTACAAAAATGAAGAAAAAAATATAATAATTCTTTTAGCAAAGCACAACAACCTCAGTTATAATTTGATTTTATTCCAAACATCAAATTACAGTAATCATTCTCCAGTTATTTTCCAAAATGGCTGGCATTACATTAAGGAATGAATTTTTTATGAGGTGCAACTGAGAAGAGCAAGGTTGCTGCTGCAGACACATTGGCCTTGAGCAGCCTTGACACTTTTGTGGCATGTGTTTTGCTTTGTGGCATTGCGTGTCCAGGAGATGGCAGCACAGAGCAGGCAACGCTGTCAGCTGGACAATGTCAGCTAACGTCAACAGCTGCTTGTTGAGGGAACTCTTCACTGTCATAGACTCAATTTGCCTTGAATCCCGAAAGTCAAGTCAGTGTTTTTCACCAACTTGATAGTTCAAGAAAACCAGATATAATTAAAAATGTGTCCTATGTTGTGAAAGGGCTTGATAATGATGATGATAAGAGCAGATACAGTATGTCAGGTCTGAAACACCAATGAGTCAGCCTTCTACATGTGTAGCATAGGGTTGTTTAGATTTATGTATTTCTTGATGCTGCATTTACATATTGAATTCACAAAGATAATATTTTCTCACACTCTTTTCTGTCCTTTCTGTGCTGATGTAACAATGAAATGAACAAACCAATGAATAATTAATCAACCCACAATTGCTAGTGGAGAATTAAATGGTGTATTTTCTCATAATTAAGTTACTCATTGGATTGCAGATAAACAACCCTTCATTACTTGCAAATTCATCACTGCAGATTGTCACACTTGACCCAACTGCAGATCCACACACAGGTCAAAGGGCAGCTGAAGCAAGTGGAGCACAACAGCCTGTTTCCATCTCCAGTGACTGAATTATTCTCTTTTTTTCACCTTCATCTCTTAGCAATCCCACAGCTTTTCCTTTTCAACCTCAAATGGTTTCACAGACTGGACAGAGAACAGAAGAGGACCTCATCTTCACTTGCACCCATGCTGCTTTCCTTTCACCATATTGTAGTTGACTACAACTGAGATTTCTTTATGTGAAAATGTAAATTAACACTGATATGACTGGAATTTTGCCAAATCTCAAAATATCTCAAATGTTTTTTGTTTTTGTTTTTTACATTTAAAAGCTTTTAAGTACTCCTCATTACTCTTTTAGGGAATGATGCAGCAGCCGTTATGAGCTGACTTCCAATAATTTCAGCGTATTTGCTTTTGGTTGCAGCCCTGGCATCGAGCGCTTGCCAAGTGGGAGTGAGCGATCAATCAATGGACCGGCTCAACAAACAAATGGCGCCCCATGTCGAGCTCTTGCATCTGAGGCAAATCTATATCTCGTATTTCTTCCATTTTCATGTAGATGGAGGGGAAACAGGAGAGAGTAAGATGTCTGTGCTCTTCTGACATTGTTCCTACCCCCTGACGGTTTGATGTGATTGCCCTGTCAGCCCTCGGAGTCTGCAGCCAGTGTAATAATCTTGGTTAGATGCTGAATGGAGATGGCTGGAGATAGTGTTCCTGGGCACAGATGTGGCATAAATATTTCAGTAGTTTGAAACTACATATTTTAGAAGAAGCAAGCTTAGTGTCCACCCACCAGTGGATCGTCTAATGTGGTCTATGGCTGACATACAGTATTGCATCACTAGTTTTTTGGGGTTTTTTTTTTTTGGTCTAACAAACACAAATGTACTCACACTCCTCTGCTGTGGAACATCAGTCTCCACTATGTCAAAAATCCTTGAGATGCAAACTGATATTGAGAATCTGCCCAAGGTCAGGGCCTCATCAAAGTCAATCTAATTTCCTGCAACTCAGGGTGAAACTGACAACTTGGCCCCCATGTTGCCGTGGCAGCCAACAGCCCCTCTCTGCATATAATCAGTCTGTTGCCATAGCAGCCCCATGGAGCTTTCCTTCCCATCAGTCTAGCAGAGAAGATGAGTGAACCAGCAGTGCCCTCATCCAGAGAGGCCTGCATGTCTTCATCTGTTGCCATGGCATCGTAATAGCGTTCTGGATAGATTTGGTATGGCAGGGAGTCCGTTTCTTTATCTTCCAACACATTATATTGAGCTGAGCTTGCCTGTGTTCAGCGCTCGCAACGTAGTGAGCAGACAAAAGGAGGTGAGGGGAAGAAGGTAGATGTCAAGATAATGTGTCTATATTGAGACACATGCAGTGGTGCTGCGCCTAGATGTGTGGTGTTCTCACCGTGTGCATATTAGGAGATACAGTATATAGACATGGTGGATGTTAGAGACATGCCTGAATAAGGTCACCTGGAGTGTACTCTCTGAATCACTTTGTACTAGAATGAGTGGCTGAGTTCAGTCACACAGTGATGATGTTCTGAACCAATTCAAGCATGTACAAACAAAAAGGAACTCAGAGAGCCAGACATTTTGCATTTCCACTTTAAAATGACTATAAACAATAATGATATGACAACGTATCAAATGATAATGCATAAACAATAAGACAGTGTGGGAAGTGTTGCTCATACTGATGAGCTTACAGAGAATTATTTTTTGAGCTTATGGAGTTTCAGCTCATTGTTTAGCTGTCTGGTCCTAATTTTACTGTTTGTTCACTCTCACCATGTTCAAAACACTGGACCAAACAACAGACAAACACATCTAGGGACTAGCTGGTGATCATAAAGGAGGTTTTGGCAGCAGCCAGAATTGGTAGAGACCAAAACCTGAGCTAAAAGAGAGTGAAATTTGAATTTACGTTCACCAGAGAGCCAGAAACACAGCACCAAAATAATGATAATGTTGCTCTGTAACTGCTGGATGTGAAAATGAGCAGCAGTTTGATAACAACCTAAAACATATCAACTTGATAGTGGTATCAAACCAGTGTTGTTCTGAGAGGCATGAATCAATGATGTATTGTTTTTTTAAAGGTAGTGTTGATTATTCACTTCAGAAGCATTTTTGTTACATTTCTTGAAATTCTCTTTTCATTCCAATGGCAATAAGCACATTACATGCACTGACATCTGTGGCAACAGCAGGGCTGAAAAAAACCTGACCAGTAATTTTACTCAGTCAACGCCAGT